CTTATCAAGGCTTTGGCATATACCAATGCACCAGCTCTATTAATAAAGTATGAGCATTAATTGCATGGGGAAGTTGCTGAATTTTCTCTTTCATTCTCCACCTCCTGACCTGACCCAACCCTAGGCTTAAAAATATTATATGTAATTTGAAAATTGTGTACCAAAATTGTAAATGTTGAAAAGTATGTCAGCAACATAGAGAAGTGTTAAAATAATCCAGTAATTTTTTAATGTCATAAAAATTTAGGATGTAAATATTAAAACTTTATAAGTTTTCTATGTATCTGAGAAGTTTTAAGGTGCTAAATGATAAGCAGCCATCTGTTTTTAAGATATATTTGATTTCTGATAGAAAAAATATTTATTTAGAACTTTAAAATGGGATCTTAAGTAGAAGTAATGCAATTTAACTCCTTAAATATATGCTATATAGGGGTGGGGTTTTTTTTACCTTTACCCAGCTGAATTTCAGAAGACAAAAATATGTCCCCATTTCAGCACCTCTTAGCAGGATTCACTGTCACAGAGTAATGTGGAAATCTCAGTGGCATTACAGCCTTATCTTAGAAGTCACACATTATCAGCTCAACTGTATTCTATTGTGTGACCAACTCTGATTCAGTGTGGGGAAGATTGTGGAAGGACATAAATATCAGGAGGCCAGTACTACTGGGGTCATCTTGGAATCTGATATAGAAACTGGATATAGGATAACAAAGTTATTAAATCCAGAATATAACAGGCGCCTACAGGTCAGTAATAAAAGCAGAACCCAATTGAAAGTGAGCAAAAGACTTGAATAGCTGTTGTTCAAAGATGTACAGATAAGTTGTTAAAGTTGTTAAGAAATAGAATAACAAAGTTCTTAAACCACACTGGTCTCTGAGAAATGTAAACAAAACCATACTGCGATACAGATGCATTCTTTATGTCAAAGTTTGTGTCAGGCTTAAGATGGTAGCAGTTCTACACTGTGACATTTACCCCAAAGAAATGAACATTTATGTCTGACCAAGAAATGTATAAGGATTTTTAAACATCCAAAAATTGTAAAGAGCTTAGCTATTTATCAACAAGGGAATGAGAAAATAAATTGTGGTAATATTTGTACTGTTATTCACATAATAATATGTACAATTAACTGTGTATTTATAATAATAGTAATTTCTATTTTATTAATATTTATAAGTAAATTAATACATTTAAAAAATTTGTATTACTGCTCATTATCATTTTAAACTTAGCAATTAAAAAAGGAATTAATTATTGACAAATAACATTCTCAACATTATGCTTTGCTAAAAAAGCTGGACACAAGAATATATATCCCACTGAAACCATTTACATGAAGTTCTAAAACAACATGAACAAATCTGTGGTGCAAAAATATGGTAGGAGTTTGTCAGGATGGAAAAAACATTCTGTTTCTTCATAGAGATACAGATTTTCAAAACTCATCAAATTGTGCACTAGATGGATGCATTTTGCTTTAGGTATATTTCACATTTAAAAGACTCTCATTTATGTGTTTGTATTTTCCAGAGATAATGCAATAATAGTTCTGAAGTTACATTTTATATATTCTAAGCTTGAGCAAATTAAGAAGTATGTGAAGATAATAGAAAGGCAGGTTCGAGCTTCTAGAGAAGGGAGTTACAAGTATGTAAGGGTGAAACTAAGCTATAAACACAATGAGCTCCTAGCTAATAAGTGCAGATCAGTAGGTAAAGCATTTTGTGCGTATGGATATATGTTGTTGTTATGTGCTATCAGATCGCCTGCAACTCAGAGTGATATTAGCACTGACATTAACCACTTACATTAGCTCTTAACCCTGCCAATCTCATTGTCTCCGACAAACCTAATCCCATTTCTCCAGTCACTGAGTCAATCTATCTCATCCTGAATCTTCCTCTCCTGCCCTGTCCCTCTACCCTTCCAAGCATGATGTCCTCCAAGGATTGGTTCTTTCTGGCCATGTGCCACAGTATGTGAGACAGAGCTTCAAAACCCTTGCCTCCAGGAAACAGCCTGATTTCACCCTCTCTAGGACAGATCTATTTGTTCTCCTGACAGTCCACAGACTGTTCCACTCTCTTCTCTAGGAACACAGAAGTATCAGTTCTTCTCTGTCATCCTTAGTCATTGTCCAGCTCTCAGATAGCAAGTAATTGTGAGGAACATGATGCACTTGAGTCTTCAGACTGATATGGTTGCTCTTCAGTACTCTAGAGATCGCTGGCAGCAGATTTTCCCAGTGCAATTCATTTTTCTGTTTCCTGAGTGTTGGTGCCAAGAGTATTGATTGTGGAACCACGGAAACGGAAATTATCAACAATGTAAATATCTTCTTTGTCCATCATTGGTGCCAGTTGGTGAAAATCTTTGTTTTCTTGATGTTGAGCTTCAGTCCATATTTAAGACCACAGTCCTTGACATTTTGCAGCAGATGCCTCATGTCTCTTCCGTTTCAACAAGCAAGATTGTATCTGCATAACAATAGTAAGAGAACCTAGAACTGTTGATCATACCTAACACCAAGATACTGGTTTCTAATTATTATCTCCACTGAAATTATCATGAACTCCTTACTGAGAAAAACTTCCATGTCAAGGAAAGTACAAGATAAGTCCAGAACAACTGATTGTACTAGAAAGGTGGAAGTACTCAAAGAATGCTAGGGTTTTTTGGTTTGTTTTTTTTTAGTACCTATACTACAAGGACATACTTTGGACATGTTGTAAGGAGAGACCGGTCCTTGGAGAGGGACATCATGCTTGGGAGGGTGGAGGGACAGCGTAGGAGGGGAAGACCCTCCATGAGGTGGATTGATTCAGTCACTGGGGCAGTCAGGATGGGTGTGTCAGAGGCAGTGCGATTGGCACAGGACTGAGCAGAGTTTAGGGCTGTTATACATAGGGTCGCTATGTACAAGCGACTCGATGGCACATAATAACAACAACAACATACTACAAGGTGGGAAACAACACAACAGAGATGTCCACCTAGAGTGGTCAATTAGCCAAACCTAGGACAATTTGAACATGGAAATAATGATTTAAATGAAAATCTAATGTTTTCTGTTAACTTTTCCTAACATCTTACAAATCGAATTTTGTGAGAAGAAAATACTGATAAGAACAGGTCACAACCCACTGAATAAAAGAAAATGTCTTTAATAATTTAACGAAACGAGTAATAAACTAAGGGGAAAGGATTATTCTTCTTTACAATAGAATGCCAAGTCAAAATTCTTAAAAGAATGATAGCTTTAAAAAAATCAAAGCAGTGTAAAAACTGGATAAAAGTTTAATAAAGAACAGGATGTTTATATAGTTTAACAGCATCTTTTCACAAAGTACTTAGTAATTTTAAAGAAAAAAGAATTAGAGCTTTACAGTAAGAATCAGACTTATACCACCGTAACCAAGTAATTTTGAAACAGCCCAACATCATCTGCTTCTGGTGTTGCACACTAAGGAAGAAAACATCATTTTAGTATTCCTGCTAAATATGTATAATCTGTGTCTAATCATGAGGCAACTACAACCTAATCCAAATTGAGGGATGATGATGTTATGGCCATTGAGTCACCCATAATTCATAGTGACCCTCTGTACAATAGCTCTGAACCCTGCCCTATCCTGAGCCAGTCTCACTGACTCCGACACACGTAATCCCATTGCCCCAGTTATCATGTCACTCCATCTCACTTACCTATCGTTTTCAAAACTGTCTTAGTCAAGGACAGAAAAGGCTATCCCAAGTTAATGAGGACTGAAAGAGACTGGTTAAATGTAGAATATGATCGTAGATTATATCTTGGAGTTCGAGAAAATTTATATAAAGGGTAGTTGACTAAATTTGAGTATAAAGTGTGAATTTGATAATAGTATGTGTATCATATTAAATTTCTTGGGTTTGATATGAGTGGTGTGGTATGTAAGAGAATTATCTTTTATTCTTAGGAAATTTATCTTGTAAAGTATTTAGATATAAAGAGGCATGATGTCTCCAATATACTTTTGAATTGTTTGGGACTTAAGGAGTATAACACATACAGTGATAAAGTGAATGGAATATTTTTATGGGATATGCTATTATGAGTTGGAAATTATGTCAAAATGAAAAGTTAACAAAATTAGATTTGTCTTTTCATTACCTTCTGAGCAGCGGTGTATGCCATGCAATGCATTAGAAAAATGTTTTTTTATAATCTTCTTTGGCTTAGTTGTTCCCATTTTACTCTGGCCACTGACTTTTGTCTGTTTCTCAACTTTTGACTGGGAAAAAAAAAACCCAACCCAAAACCCACAATTTCCATTGGGTTGATTCATACTCTTCTGGCTACGAATGTATTATTTCTTAGAGTTGCTATAGAAATCTTTTTGTATTTTTTTTTATAATTACTCTGAAGTTCCCACTTCTTATATGCATTTACTGTACTACTAGCTAGTAACTCTCTATATTTGGTAACATATTTTTTCCTATGCATATTTTATTTTTGTATGTTGGATGTTAACCATAAAAAGTAATCATTTGTTTTGTTGAGGGAACATCCATATTAACTGCAAGGCTTTGCTGCTTGAGTTCTTGACCAGCAGATTTTTTTTCCTCCCTGGTGCCTATTACCTATTAGTAGAAGATGAATGAAAATGTGAAGCTCAGTCTTAATCAGAATTTATCAGTGTTTGCTCATTTTATGCAAAGAACTCATGTCTAGATGCTGTTAGGCTGAATATGCCTACTATCAGCCACAAAGAAAGTGAGAAATGCTCGCAAAACCCTGTGCTACTTTGCTGGCATTCAGTTTCTACTTGCTCTGTGTTTACTGTCTCATTGAACAAACAGCTGTCCAGCAGAAGCTGTTTTGAATGGATTTACTGAGAAAATCATGTCAGCTGACTTCATGATTATTCACTTTACTCACTTGGTACTTGAGTTTTCAATTGGTTAACCAGTTTTCTTTCCTTTGTGGTATATGATGGAATCTTCACTAGACAGAGGTAACTTATTGGATAGCTGCATACCTGGGTGCTGGTGTCTTGGTGCCTGTTGGTTTCGTTTCTTGATACTCCTGAAGTTTTGCTTGCAGTGCTGCCTCTTACTTGTGCTTGCATGACATTTTTACTTTGGTTGCGCTTCATTGAGCTGAGATCTTAAAACTGTCTTATTTCCTTTTTTGGTACCTCGAATAACTCTGAACATCTTTGGTTGACCCAGAACTATGAAAAATCAGGTCCAAGTCTAACTTTCTGGTGGATCCTTTTCAGTTTAAAAATATGTTCAGTGTCACCACTAAGTTTATGGTTTGGCTAGGAATTCTGAGAACAGAATAAGTTTGCTTCAAAACCAAGGAAGGAAACAGTTGTGAGACATGCCACTACTGAAACTGAGAGAGTGCATGTTTGGAGGAAAGGCCAGAATTTTAGAGAGCCTTTCATCAAATAGCTGAAAGTTAGGTACCTCCACCAAAACAACAGTAAATGTGAGTGCACGAAGTCATGCCTACTCATAACAGATTGCTGTGCGTGTCTGATTTGAAATTCTCTGTCAGTGTTGTGTTTCACTCTACATATGATTCTGCATTCCTAAACTAAGATTTCTGGACTTGTGGCACAAAAATTAAAATTAGTTTTTCAGAAATTACTTTTCTGAGTCTTTATGTGAGCTTTGAAAATTTCTGTTTGCATCTTCATTTCTGAGCATTGATTGTTTTCTTGGACAATTAGGACTAATTTCTTTTTTTTCTTTTCATTTTTATTCTTTTGTTTTTATTTTTGTTCCTTTAGAGTAGATGGTGGGTGGTTTCTAAAACAAAATCAATCCTAAAATGTGCCTCTGTATTTTAAATATCAGGTCATAAAATTGGAATTATTTTCCATCTTTTTTACTAAGATCATATTGAAACAAACAACTTCCCCCCAAGGGGAAAAAAACAACCTATGTTGTAATTTTCTTTTTCTTGAAAACTGTAAAGGATCCATTATTTGGAATGGCCATCAGATAAATGCTTATGATAAATAACATAAAAATGTCAGAAAACTCATCTTTTATTGTGTGTTTTCTAATTGAGTTTTATCTTCTTTTTTTTGTTTGTTTGTTTGTTTTGTTGGGGACCTGTATATTTAACAGAAAATTTCCCAGGAACGAGAAAAATTCGCTGATGAAGGCAGTATATTTTACACGCTTGGAGAATGTGGGCTCATATCTTTTTCAGACTACATTTTCCTTACTACTGTTCTTTCAAGTAAGTATAATTTTTTCCTTTTATTTGTGAAAGGAGTATATAGGATTATAAAAGTAGTTCAGCTGATTGGAGGGAGAAGGAAAAGTTGACAGCATTAGTCAATTATAAATTCCATTTGTTTTTCCTTTTCTGTTACATGTATGCAGAGAGAGGGAAAAAAGTGTAAAAGTTAAAAATGAGAAACAGAGGAGCTCTGGTGGCCTAGTGGCAAGGAGCTGCAACTACAATCCCAGAGGCACACGGTTCAAATCCACCAGATGCTCTGCCGGAGAAGGAGGGACAATCTCCTCCTGTACCAGTCAGATCTGATTTGACGGTACAATCACACAAAAATAATAAAATTTAAAAAAAATAAATCTCAACAAAAAAAAATGAGAAACAACTGACAAGTCAGAATCCATTGCATATTCCCTGTAACTGTAGCCTTCATTAATGTCACTCTGTTGGTAGTGATGACCTTATGTTTACAGAGTCTACAGGAGTTTGTGTTTTGGTGTTGTTATTTTTTTTTTTTTTAGATTACAGTCTGAGTTATACTAGTATATTTATAAAATTCTAATATATTGTTTTTCCAGAACAGATTCTTCTAGTTTCCCTCACCTGCCCACTCATCAAATTATACAACTCCATGATTAATCCCTCCCCTACACGTATCCTCATCCCTCTGCTTCTGCCCTCCCCCTCCCCTTGGATCCTTATACTCCTTCTACAATAATGGTTTTATACAATATTTGTCCTTGTGGGACTGAGTGAGTTCATCAGCATAATGCTCTCCAGCCTCTCCCAAGTTAGGTAATAATTTACAGAATCATTGCTCCTGTATGCTGAATAGTATTCCATTGTGTGAATGTACCATAATTTATCAATCCATTAGATTGTAGTTGGGCATCTGGCTGTTTCCATGTTCTTGCAATGGTGAATAACATTGCTATGAACATGTGTGTACAAGTCTCTGTACTTCAATTCATTTTTTTCAGGATATATTCCAAGTAGTGGAATAGCTTGGTCATACGTAATTTCTTTGTTTTTCTTGGTTTAGCTTTTAGAGAAAGTGCCAAACTGCCTTCCAGAGTGGTTGTACTATTTTACAGTTCCACCAGCAATGTATAAGAGTTCCTTTCTTGCCACATTCTCGCCAACATTTATTACTTTGCCACTGTTACTGGAGTGAGATGGTACCTCATTGTGGTTTTTATTTGCATCTCTCTTATTGCCAGTGATTTTGAGCATTTCTTAATGTGTCTGTCGTTCACATATCTTCCTCTGTGAAAATTCTTTCCATGTCTTTTGCCCATTTTGTAATTGGGTTACAGGATTTTTTAAGGCACTCTGATAGGTCAGTAGGTTAAATGTTGAGCTGCTCTCAGAAAGGTTGGCATTTCAACCCTGCCAGTGGCTCATTGGGACAAGGCGGAGACCATCTCCTCTCATTAACATTTGCAGCCTTGGGAATCTATGAAATGGTGTCTATGAATCCAATTTGACTAGGCAGCTATGAGTTACAGGATTTTCAAGGCGGTTACCTTTCAGAAGCAAATGACCAGGCACCTCTGGATGAGTTCACACTGACAACTTTTCAGCTGGTAGTCAAATGCTGAGTCATTTGTATCTCCAAGGGATTCTTTAATGTTACTGCTTTGCTATTAAGGTACGCCCTGATCTGTTATTTCCTCCACTAAGGAAGGTGATTTGCTTGACTATCCTAACTGTGTTCAATATTTATTTTTTAACCTTGAAGGAATATTTCTTTAGGTGCAATTACCATTTAACTTGTTTACTTCACTGATGAATTTTTGATGGTAAGCTAAACAAATTTGTTGATTAGTATGCTACTTGCAATGTTTCTAAATTTTATTTCCTTCTAAATGTTACTGTTTTCAACCATACAGAAAGAGACAACGAAGTGGATGCTCATGACTATCTGTGAGTCTATTTAAGTCTACCTAGTTTAAACTATAGGATTTTATTTGTATGATTAAAAAAATTATTAATTTTTTATACCTGGAACCTGTTGTTGTTGTTATGTGCCTTTGAGCCCCTTGCGACTCATAGCGACCCTATGTACAACAGCCCTAAACTCTGCTCTGTCCTGTGCCAATTGCACCATCTCCGATACTCCCATCCCAGTTACCCCATTCACTGAAGTGAAAAGGATCAGCTCTTCTCCTTTCCTGAGCCAGTCAGTCATCTTTAAAGATTAAAAAATGTTAGAAAATTTTTATTACATTAAGGACTCAGTTTCTGCCATGGCTGCTGCCACTTTTACTCTCCCTCTGAAAGATTTTGAAGAAATAGACTATTGTACCTTCCCAAAGCTGTCTTTGGTACCAGAGTCTCTGAATAAATTTATGTGGTGACCCAATGGCCGATTTGAAAATCCAGAAGTATAAGCTAAGTGCGCAGCTAGCAACACATTATTAGTGTTGTCTGTTATTTTGGTAGGACATGGGTTAGGCAGACGTTAGGTCAAATCCATCCCAACCACTTCTTGGCTTAGTGGTTTGGTACAAGTCACTGTTCTTCTATTTCATCTGTAAAAATGGAGATGATAGTAATTCCCAATCCATAATGAGTGATTTGAGGATTATGTGACTCTGCCCATGAAGTGCCTGTTTCAGTGCCTCACATTTAATTGCAGCATATTATAGCTGGGAGGTTGTTTTAGGTGGTTTGGTTTTGTATGTGTGTTGTGGTGTTTTATTTTTGTTTTTTTTCTGATAACCTGTTATCAATTCCCAAGAAGTTGACCACAACTCATAATATCCCCATGTGCATATGCATTCACTTAATTACTTTGGTGATTAGAGGGAAACTTCTTTTTTTTTAATTAATTAATTAATTTATTTATTATTTTTTATTTTTGTGTGAGTGTACCGTCAAATCAGATCTGACTGGTACAGGAGAAGATTGTTCCTCCTTTTCCCGGCAGAGCATCTGGTGGATTCGAACTGTGTGCCTGTGGGATTATAGTTGCAGCTCCTTGCCACTAGGCCACCAGAGCTCCCCGGAGGGAAACTTCTAAACTTGAGATCTGTGAACTGACGGTGTCAGTGAGATGATGTGGGCTGTTATTTATGAATAGAGGCCTTTTCCTCCCAAACTGTGGAGTCAGTGGTGTTTAAGAAATTCTGTCATTTTAAAGAGAATATGAACACTCTGCTTTAGTGAATTGCTGTTTGGAACTTCAAGATTATTTGCAGATGTCTTCTATATTGTCTAAAACAAAAAATAGACAACTAAATATAGTTATCATGAATTTTCTTTCCCGAATTATAATTAATTCTCTTAAAAATAAAATTAAGACACACTGCTTTGCCAAAGAAGGTATGCTATGCAATAACTATTACCTTAAATAGAGTTCATTTTTCTTCAGCTTTTTGGACATTTGAGTTTTCATTTAACAAGAGTTTGTTATACATGTATTCTGAATTGGCAGCCTATTTTGCACAAATGTTTACATTAAGTAGTGAAATTATTTTCTTACTTTTCTCCTTCTATGTAGACATAACTCTCTAAATCAGATAATGGAGACCTACGAACGTGCGTGCACGCGCGCGCACACACACACACACACACACACACACCACACACTCTCAAGAATTTCTTGAACTCTCTCAGCCTCATTTTTCCCTTGGCACTTGTCCTATTTGACATTTCCCTGCATAACTTATTTCTTTATCTTGCTACTGTTCTCCTCTCCTCTTAAAATGTAAGCTATGTGATAGTAGTCAAAATTTGTATGATATTAACTACAAATAGATCTACTGTATATAAAGCAAGGGTAGCAATATAAAATGTTCTATTTCATTTGTTCTAAAGAAAACTGTAGCAAACATAAAACCTGATTTTGCTATTTATATTGAAATTGAGGACAATCTTTGTAACTGTCTATGTCTTCATTCTACAGACAGTACCAGTGAAGGGAGGGAAATAATTGGTTTCCAAGCAAAGTTTGCTTTCCTTTAACAATCTAAAATGTACAAATCTGTATTTCCTTTTATTCCGTATTAATAAATTCTGTTAATTTATACCTCATTCTTCTGGTCTGTTTTGATAAATTAACGTGAAGAATCCCCAACATGACCCATACCATCTATAATAAGCAGAACACCAAGTATTTATTAGATACCTATTAATGAGAAGAATTGAATGTACCATGGACTGCCAAGAAAACAAACAGATTTATCCTGGAGAGGATTAAACCAAGCAACTCCTTGGAGGCAAGAATTCTGGGGCTTCGTCTGGCATACTTTGGGCGTGTTGCAAGGAGGGACAGGTCCTTGGAGAGGGACATCATGCTTGGGAGGGTGGAGGGACGACACAAGAGGGGAAGACCCTCTATGAGATGGATTGATTCAGTGACTGGGGTAATCAGGATGGGTGTGTCAGAGGCAGTGGGATTGGCACAGGATAGAGCAGGGGTTAGGGCTGTTGTACATAGGGTCGCTATGAGTCGCAAACGACTCGACAGCACATAACAACAACATTAATAGTTCAGATTAGTTCTAGATAATCTGGAGACAATTTTGTTGTTATTATTATGAAATAATTTCCAAGGAGCACCTTTCTGAGCCTTAAAGTAGATTTCTAGGAATTTATTGAGAATACCTGTGCATGATGAATAATGACTTAATTCTCCACACTGACCAGCCTCAAAATGCACTGGTTGTCAGAGATTTTTCTCTATGACCAGACGCAGATAAAGATCGTCAGAATATATTTAGAATATTATATATTATTTGTTATGAATCATCCTTACTAATGCTGAGATTCACTAGATAGTGGTGATACAACTTATATCTGGATTTTGCCCATTAACTGTTATGAAATATTTTGTTATTTTTTGTCTTCGTATATGGTATGATTATGTCAGAGATTTGGACAATGACTAGGGATGATAGAAGGAGAATTGATGCCTTTGAGCTGTGGTGCTGGAGAAGAGTATTGAATATGCCATGGACTGCTAAGAAAACAAACAGGTTCATCCTGGAGAGGGTTAA